CATGCTGATGGTAACATACCAGAGTCAGGCTGATAGAGGGACAAGGTCTCCCCTGCTTTAACCCTGGACCCCTTTTTAAGGGCCTCACACAAATAAATGATTTTGTTTCCCTCAAAACAGAGTTCTAGCAACCTTATGACACACCAAATATCGATTTAGATTAGGGTGTGTAATAAGTTACAGCTAACCTTTACTTCAATGTTAGATTGATAGTATCTAACTCTCTTGCTGCTCCTCCTTTAGCACCTCCAAGGCTGTCTCTGACTATGTGTGCTCTTCTATGTCTCTTCATACTGGGCTTCTCTGAGACCTGACATTTCTTCACAGTTTTTTCTGGTTATTTGTTGACATAATAGTGGCCTGAACTCCTAGGAAAATCTTCTTCAGGGGTCAAAAGTACAGGCAGAAGCAGAGGAATACAGCTCTGACTAAGCGCTAGGAAAAGTGGTAACAACTGAAGTGAGTCATCAAGTGACTTCTTGAACTTAGTTCTCAGACAAGGAGTCCCACGTTTTTTATGTTAAAAAGCAAAAATAAAGAACACAGAGACTTTGAAGTCCTTGGATAATAATGTTTAAGTCACAGGCAAATACTGTTTCCTAGTGACGGCTTTGAAGGTTGAAGATGATAGTAGATGTGTCTGATGATAGATCCAGCCCAGGTATGACAAGCGATCGAGAATGACGAAGTTTGTTCTAGCTTCAGGAAAAGCCAGCTGGCTCACGTTACCTGCAGTGGCTGCTCAATCTAAGCGGGCTGTCCTGGCCCGCAGTGGATTAGGGACTGCTCTTCCAGAGGTAAAACCAGGGCCGGGTGGAAGGAGTGGTGAGCAGCGGCTACGGGTGGCACAGCTGTTTGCTAAATTAATGCCTCTGTACAGCCTTCCTTTGGAAGGTATGCCCAGATGTGGATCATTACCTACAAAAGCAACCATGCAAACTAGGTCCTAGTGACACAGTGACACTGCCCATGTCCGATGTACAAGAGAGTGAGGAAAAACCAACTCTCGCATATGTGCATGTTGGGACAATGCTCAGAGTAAAGCCCACACTAAACCAAAACCTTCCCGGGGAAAGTGTCAGTCAGGGTTCATGTCTTGGCTGACTTTCTTTTTTTGGGGGGGAATGTTTGTGTGTGAAAACACAGTTCTGAACTATCCAAGGGGTTTCTTTTGGACATTTTGGTAAGCAACACTTCGAGCTGGCTTTCCATCAAATGATACCAATTCTCCAGCTTGCTCCATTTAAAAAAAGGTTCTGCCTGAGCTCAGAACGAGGTTGGATGAAATACTCTCTTTCCTCCTCCTCGAAGACTCTGCCTTGCCCAGCGCACATGAGGGACCAAGCTGGGCAGCGGGCGATGCTGGCGATGGAGGGGCCATGGCTGGGATGTGTCAGGTTGGGTGGAGGCTCTTTGTCAGAGCAGAGGGCGACCTGGGGAAGCAGGAGGGAGTCAAACCAGCGGGTTTGCCGGCCATTTCTGGCTGCATGTGCCTTGGTTTGCTAGAGACTCTGCACGCGATGCCTGAAACGAGATTTACAGACATGCTGCGTGCACCTCCCCCTGCAATTGGGTCGGAGGAGGAGGGGTTACAAAAACACGATGTGCGCTTAAAAAAACCCCGAGCAAGTCATGAACACCTCAAAATTTATGCCTGAACTCTCAAACATTTTTGAGCATTTTCAGTACTCTCAGCTGAAAAATGGGAATAACAGATCAATTATGGATTTTGTTGAGAAAAGTAAATCCTAGCATTAGGTTCTGTGCTCCACGCCAATTCCCTTGTGCACAATATACATAAGCAAGTAATCTGTCTGAAGTCGTGTTACTGAAGGAAAAAGAAATGCTGAAAAGCTCGACAGACTCATGCTCTTGGGAACTCCCATGTGTTTGGGAATACCTAGAATGGGAATGATATTACGTAGTCATTTGTTTTCTGCTTTCAGATATAGGACCCTATTCAAGGGAGCTCAAGATAGAAGAGCATTTCCCTATAGTAGTCTCATCTCACTTCAGGGAGAATAAGAGAATAACCAATATGATTTATTTTATTTTTGCCTCTTTCCAGTCCTACATTTCTATGACTTGACTTGTGTGTTTTAGTCTATACAGAAGTAGTTTACTGTTCCTAGATGACATAATTTGGTCACATACAATAGGACACTGATCTCCAAGATTGCAAATACCTTCTTTGCAGAGGGTGGCAAACCAGTCGCAGTCACATCCTCTCCAAAGCAGACCAAATAAGGCACTGTTAAATCAGCAAAAACAGCCTGCTTGGAGAAGCAGATTAATGTTTACTTGTGGAGGGGAAAATAAGTGTTTTTTTTTTTTTCCGGAGAGGTATTGTTTAAGTCAGATTTAGTGCAAGCACAGTGCAGTTTTTGCTGTAAAAAATGAAACTTGTAGGTCAGCCGCAGAAAAGGGTGTAACCCTAGATTTTGTTCTATTTTGGCGAAATATTTACAGCACCTGATTTGTGCATCGAAGCAATAACATCTCTGTCATTAATACATGGGCTAAATGAGTTCAAAAAATCATCTCCGACTCGTGTGTTAGATTAAACATCCAGATGTTAAAAAAAAGGCACCAGAAATGATAGTTTCTTTTATTTTCCCACTTGCATTAAACCTGTAAGTTTTACATTTTCAAGTTATCTTAGTGAAATATATTTGCAAGGAAAGGAGAGACTCAATCTCGTTATTATGGGAGCTGGAGGGAAATCATAAGTTGCTGCACAATGCATACTAGAATCCCAAGATCTGACCTCGCTGTAGTTTTAGGTTTGGTTTGAAATTAAGTAACCATGGACAGCATCAAGCATGGAAGCAAACAGGGAGTAATTTAGCAGGCAGTAATTTGTCTAGAAGATTCAAAATATTCACACCCTAGTCTGGCTTCTGTTCCCACTGATGTGAGCAAAAATGCCACCAGTGACACTCACCTATTAAGTGACATATGGCTGAAAAGTAATTAACAGGATTAATAACAACCACTCATGCTCTATTCCAAAGGTTTGTCTGTCTGGAGCCCTTTGGAAAATGGAGCTGCCTGTGCAAAAAGGTAGGTGAAGTTGTGCCCACTCCTTTGCTTCTAAGGAAAATTAAGCTAAACCTAGTTAAGGTCCTGAGGGCCCCAATTCACTAACAAGAAATCACAGGATGCTGCAGTGCCTGGTCTCAGAGGATTTGTCCATGGGCACTGCCACTTGGCAAGAGGTGGCTGCGAACCACAGAGGCAGCGTTTGCCTTACGTGAAGGCAAATCCTGTTCTGTGGAAATCCCCATCGGATTCCAGAGACGCTTTCAGAAAGCTGTGGCTGCTGCGAGGCCCAGCCCAGGGGCTTTTCCCCCAGGAGGACCTGGGACAGGGAGAAGTGAAAGCCCAGGTGTCCCCAGGAGCCCCCAGAGCACAAGTGCTGCCAACGGGACAAACAGATTTATCTTCTGACAGTTCAAAAAGTGCTGAAGCTTGAGAAAAGTGATGGGAGGCCAGATGGAGAAGAGCCTCCCGCAAATTCACAGAATTCGTTGCTTCAAAATAACTTTCTGATGTGTCCCTGATGCTTTCTGGAAAGGTAAGTTAAGTGACCAGCAAGGAGGCTTTTATGTCTCTAAACCAATGCAAAACGAAATTTGCCCTTGACTTGTGTAGGGGCTGCACTTAGAATTGCAGTTCTAACACTGGTGGTAGAGCCCTTTTGGAAATGACTGCTGCCGCTCAAGGATGGCGTGAGCAGAGAAAGTGGTGCAAGCATTAAAAATTTGAAAATATCTGGCAATAAGAGGGCAAGATAGGTTAAGCAATACCTGGAGCCTTCTGGCAGGACAGCTGCCTGGCGCCGAGCCAGTCTCCTGCTCCCTCTGCGAAGGTGCCCTCGGCACTGCGGAGCACGGCCCGTGGTGGTGGGTGCCCCCCGTGCAGGGAGGCCGGGTGCTGAGGAGGCGCCTTGGAGCGCGTGTCGCCCAGCCCCGCGTGGGGATGTTTCTTCGCTCTGGAACGGCGCTCAAGAGAGAAATGACTTATTTGTCCAGAACATGAAATGCAGGATGGAGAGGACGCGGCCAGCTGCATCTCGTATTCAGATAAAACACATGGTGAATAAACCACTGAAAAAAAGGTTTTGGGGCTGATGGCACCTGTCTGATGGCAGAGGATACTTGGGAGTTCTCCCAATAGTTGGGGAATATTTGCTGTAGTGGGAAGAGTCTCTACATACCCAGAGAGTCATGCCCAGCTCTCACTCCGGCACCTGTACACTGGCCTCAGACCCGTGCTAGCTAGAGGGTTAGGGATAAGAAAGATAAGGCTTCTCCATTTCTTAAGAGATCACATCCAATGCAAAGATACCTCATGCAAATCGGCATGTTTTTCAGGAAGAGTTTCAAGATTATGAGCAATGTAGAAGATATGCAGAAATCTAAGAGCAGATTTTGCAGTTGAATGGAAGGCGTAAGAGAGAACTGTGCCTCCTCCACGCTCAGCCCTGAAGCTCCCCTGCTACCTGAGTTGAGGCCATAGGGCCAAAGGACAGATGAACGCAACACGAAACCTGGTTTGAACCGATATGATCTTGATAGGCAGAGCTGGACCTGAACTGTGATCTTGAAATTCTCTTGAAGCTTGAGTCAAACCAGCATCAGTCACAGCTGAACGGCATCCACCACTTGCACAAAAAACATGGTGTTTTGACTTCCTGTAGAGAAGGGAATTTAAATCTTTGCAAATTTGCATGCTAGCCTGCCAGGAAGAAGACATACCATGTGCAAGTTCATGTATTTATTATAAATTCTCTTTGCTTTCCTCTTCAAGATTTTCCCTGCTACGCTCCTTCCCATTGCTTGTCACATGAGATGTACAGCAAGGACTTAGCGTTATCAGCCTCAGCCCTTCCCTTTCTCTCCTCAGTTCCTGGGGCAGGAATAAAGACCCTGGCTCTTCATCCTGAAGGTGCCACACTTTAATTTTGCCTGAACCATGGAGATGTTGTAGCCTGGCTCTGGTCAGCTGGACCTCCAGAGGTGCTAACTCTGCTGGAGCAGGACCTTGGCACCCCTGTCTGCCAGGGCTGTCTGTGCAGTGAGGGTTCAGCACCAGCTCCTTGCTGCCTTCTCGGCCTCTCCCACTGACACTGCCGGGCCCTGGAGAGGCCCCGTTCTTGTCCCGTGATTCTCGCCCGCCCCTGCATGTGTTTTCAGTGGGACGCGATTTGCCCTGTGCTAACCCATGCACGCGAGCTGCAAAATTTGAGCAGGGGAGGTCTCCCCTTTGCTCTTGAAATAGCTTACCAGGAAAGAAGAAAAAAGAAAAAAGAAAAAAAAAGAAAGAAAAAAAGAAAGAAAAAAAAAAGAGAAGATTGCCATCTGTGTTTGAAACACCTAAACCATGCAAACCACAGAAAAACAGGCTGCCACAGGTTTAGTTAGGCTAGGGTCCTGCGAGCCCACACCCACCGCAGCCTACAAAAGCCCAAAGCTTCAGCAGTGCTGCAGAGAGCAGCACCCCGTGCAGCGGCGGGAGCGAGAGCGGGACCCACCTCCCTGCAGCCCCGGCCCGGTGAGTGCCTGCTTCTCTCCTCGGGCTGTCCGAGCCTGGCCCTGCTTGCTTTCCGTGTGCACCTTCAGCAGAAAGAAAATCAGCTTACACATTGTTTATTTGAAAACAGAGCTCATTTATCATTAAAGTCACTCCTTTACTGTGACTTTTTTTTTCCTCTGTTGCAACATAAGGTGGGTCTGAAAGCAAAAAACAACCCCCAAACTCTGCACCTTTGGGTGCAAAATTACATTTTGCAAAGCGGCGCTGGAGGCGTCCCGGTGGCAGGATGACAGCGTGTCGCTGGCCGCACTCACCACTCATTTGTACCTGATATATCTCAGTTTCACAGGTGGTTTTTGCGCCGGGAGGCTGACGCTCGCGGGGCAGTTCTCACAACTGCGGTGCTCGAAGGAGATTTTGGCTCCCTGAGGGATTTTTGAGCAAACGAATTTTGGCAAGCAGAGCTCATCAGCTTTGGCATTGCCCTGTGGCTGGGAAGGGGGAGCCATGCACTTGGTTCACTGATTCCCTAAACTGCATCATTGCCAAAAGATAAGTGGAAAGACAGCAGATTTATTCTCGTTAGTTCGTTGTCCCTCCCTGCCTCAAAGGATAGGCTAATGCTTGCCAGCTTTTAGGGTGCTGTGAAATGCATTATAGGAAAAAATCCCATGCTCACTGCGACACCGAAACGAAAGACCTCAAAGCTCAAATTGTTGAGACGATCGCTGTTCCGTCTGCAGCAACAGCAGCGCAGCCGAACGCCGAGCGCGGCTGCCGCTGTGCTTAGCGCGCCGCATCCTCCGCACGCGCGAGGGTTGCGTGCGCTCTGCCTCTCCAAGGCTCGAACCCTGCTCGCGCTTCCAGCATGTCACTCGCACGTGCCCTGGCGCGGCCCGGCACCCAGGGCAGCGGGTCCCGCCGGGCCTGGAGCGGGAGCGAGGAAGCCCCACGGGGCAGCCCCACGGGGCAGCGCTGCCCGGGGCTCCGCGGGCGCCTGCAGGGACGGGCGGTTTCCCCTGCTTTCTGCAGACTCACAAACATCCTGTGCACGCGGTGTCTTCGTGGCTGTGATTGATCGCCCTTTATTTCTGCATCCTAGGATTTACTTGTGGCACATCTCATTTACCAGTCGGCTTTATACAGACCATTTCTTTCAGTCTGCTTACGTATTTTTGCTCGTGTAACTTCTGAGTGGAGTTGGCTGTTTGCTATCCTTGGGTTGTTTGCTTCAAAATGAAGGCAAACGAAATTACGAATTACGAATGTTGCATATTCCAAGTTCAGCTACTATGCACAGTGCACAGATGCTCAGAGCAGAATAGTGCATTTAGAGCTGTACTTGAAACTTCAGGGATGAACATAATTTTCCATATAGTTTTTTATTTTGATAGAAAATTTAAGAATTAATACTTATACACATACTTATGACTGGTTTCATTTGCTTAATCTATTTTTAAGCAAATGTTCTCTACCCAGACTAATGATTTTTATTGCAAAAGTTGCAGACCTCACTCCTTAATAATTCATATTCATGAAAGTTGCTTCATGAAGAGGAAAAAATTGAAGGGTTAGTCCCCAAAGTGGTGCTTTTGGAACAAAATCATTTCTGAATGGATGAAAACGACTGCTTAAAAAATTCCTTTACTAGATTCACAAACACCACAGCCATTTGCTGCAAACGTTCACTTCGGCACCCATAGCAAGCAAAGGCCAGAGGGGACCAAAACACAAATGCCTTTCTACAAACACGTTCACTGTCCCTAAAAGCAGCTGCGTCCCTGGCTTTGCTGGTGAATTTACTAAGGGCTTAGCAATAGCGAAGGGTGCACAGGTGAACTGAATGCTGGATTAATTCGTACCCCAAATAACGTTGTGGGAAGGTGTTTTTAGTCAGCGCACGTGAGAAACTGAAGGGAAACCAGAACGTGAACGTTGGCCATTTCCCCTTGGAAGAGGTTCGATTTGGTGCAGCTGCTGCCGTGGTGGGAGCCCAGGTTTGCGCGTCCGCCTCACAGTTGTTTGACCTGTTTTCTAAAATGCAGGACACGGGAAAGCCCCCTGCTCACTGCCCCAATCTAGCTCCTGGGGGCAGAGCGAGCGGGGCCAGCACCTGGCATCTCACTGGGCTTGCATCCCGGCCGCCGGCACGTGCAAAGGGGTGCCCAGCGTGCCAAGCACATCACCCACTACGTGTCCACCAGGCTCAGTGACGTGTTTTGGTGGTAGACTGGCTTCAAACGATTCGCAGCAATAAAATAATACAGGTTTTCTTGCATACTGCAGCGTAGTGATCTGCTTTGCTGGCCAGCATGGGTGGACACAGCAGTTGAATGCGAAGATGGGAAAGAGATGTTGCAGGCTGGACAGAGCAGATGGAAAAAACAGTCACTCGGAGGATGCAAGCATTTTAAAACTGCAAAGTCCCACTAAAAAAGGCGGGTGTTTTACCTTGTTAGCTGTTAGACAATTTGAGAGAGATTTTGGTTATTCTCAAGGATCTTTTAGAAGTGTTGGTGCTTTCACATGACTTTCTTTTTCAATGCATGCACTGGGGACTCTACATCTTATTAAAAGTGAAATCGCAGTGACTACAGCAAGTCAAACAACTTCATCAGCACAGCAGAGAGAAGCTGCTGAACATCATGTCCTTAAGTGTAAACTTGAATGAGTTAAGGATATTTTCTGCCAGTTTATTAGCAAAATGGAAACATCTAAGAAACGCAGACCAGCGACATGAATTAGTCTGGTTCATTCTTCAACCTGTCAGCCTCATTTCAAAGGGACGGGTCCAGGCTTGGGGCTGACACCAAGGTTTGGTTCAGAAAACTTGCTGTGAGACCTCCTGCTGTTTCTCATTACAAAAGACCCAAACTCATAGTTCTGTTTCTAAACTATTTCAAATCACTGTCTTTCCCTCCCTCTTCCCTCTCCAGGTTACTGTGCCTTCATCAAGACTGAGTCAAGATTGCTTGAATATGGCATTTCCAATCTTAGTGAGTATGCGCTTGTGCTGCTGTACAATCTTACTGTTTTTCCCCCCACTCTTTTCACCCTCCTCAGGTTTCTAGCTCTCCCGGGCCAACAGTGCCATTCTGCCTCTGTAGTAACACGAAGCGTGTTCCCCACCTCTGTCCAAGATTATGGGATGATGGGTGGGACTATGGGATTTGTTAGACGTATCTAGCTGCCAAACCAGCAGTGGTGCAAATGGTCTGACACAGGGAAGGCTCTCATCACCTGCCATCATGAGGTGGGCCAGTGTGGGGGACAGCTCTTTGGTAGGCAGTTTGTTGCTCAACAGACCCCAAACTGCGGATGAACGATGAGCCTGAGTAGTAGCCGTCTCAGTAAGTGCATGAGGGCATCTGGCTCCACACGTTCAGGTGTTGGGCACAGGCACAATTCAAGCAGTTGAAACACACTACTCTTTACCAGGAGCCTTTTTGCTTCTCTCTCTAAAAAAAGACATACTGGGGATCTTAAAATACACCTGATGGAGAGGGTCAAATTTATGCTTTATTGAGCCACCTCTTCAACATAAGCTTATCAGATGCTCCCTTACAGGTCACCCACCATGACAGGACCAGCCTGGATTATTACAAGAATGACAGCATGGTGATGTCTCTGGCTGGACATGTTTTAAATGACACTGACCTTATGTGTGACAGGAGGCAGGTCAGGCAGTTTGCTAGAACTTTCCTGCCGGTGTTTTTCTGGCTGATCTTCTCTGTGGGCACAGTGGGAAATGTATTGGTTGTGCTGGTCTACTGCAAATACCGCTTCAGGAAGAGCATGACGGATCGGTACCTGCTGCACTTGGCCATTGCTGATCTGCTCCTGCTTTTCACCCTCCCTTTCTGGGCCAAAGCAGCCTCTGATGGCTGGATCTTTAAGAGTTTCATGTGCAAAATCGTCAACAGCATGTATAAGATCAACTTCTACAGCTGCACCTTGTTTCTAACGTGTATCAGTTTCGACAGGTACATCACCGTTGTCCAGGCAACAAAAGCTAAAAATTCTAAGCAAAAAAGACTCCTGCGCAGCAAACTCATGTGCTTGGCTGTCTGGTTGACCTCTGTGAGCCTGTGCATCCCAGAAATTGTGTACAGCGAAAGTAGGCGAGTTGGCGACATAACAACCTGTAAAATGACATACCCGCCAACCATCAACAGGACCTTCCGAGTCACTGTCCTGGCTCTGAAAATCACAATAGGCTTTTTCCTTCCGCTCCTTGTCATGGTGATTTGTTATACCCTTATCATCCACACCCTCCTTCAAGCCAAAAGATCCCAAAAGCAGAAGTCACTGAAGATCATCACCACCATCATCACCGCTTTCCTCATCTCCCAGTTCCCATACAACAGCGTTCTGCTCATGAAAACCCTCCACACGTACACCCGTGCCACGCTCAGCTGCCAGGCTGCCGACCGCATGGACATCGGCCTCCAGGTCACCCAGGGCATCGCCTTCCTGCACAGCTGCCTCAACCCCTTCCTCTACGTCTTTGCCGGCGAGCGGTTCCGCCGGGCGCTGTGCCGCATCGCGCGCTGCCCGAATGGGGGCCACGAGCAGAGCTCCTCCGCGTGCGACAGCCAGGAGCGCAGCTCAAACTGGTCCTTCGCCATGCTGGGTAGGCGACGCGTGAGGAGCTCCCTGACCCTGAGCACCCACCTGAACGTGTCGGTCATGCCCCCCTCGTGCCAAGCCCTCATGTAAGCTGCTGCCCCCTGCTCCCGTTGCTGGCTCTTGGACACCGTTTGTGAACCCCAAAGGCTCTCTCAGCAGAAGGACACAGTTTTGCAAGGGGCGGCGCACGCAGGCCTCCCGCCAGTGCCAGTGGGAGCAGAGGGCGCCGGGGCTCCTTGCACACCCTGGCCTGTGGGGGCCTGGCAGGACTGAGCCTGGTTTCCTAGCTGAAAGGAAGTGAAACGTTGAGTGTGAAGCAAACGGAGAGACACTAAGTGTACGCAGGGCTGACAGAGGATAAAAGCAGCCTTTGGGACAGCTGTAAATGCCCAGCCCATCTGTGGCTTGAACCACAGCCTGAAATAACAAGCCCCTCAGGGAAACGATGAGCCCGGCCACCACAGCTCCGCAGCCAGCAGGACAAACCACTGCTCCCATCCGTAAAAAATATAAGGAAAGAGTTTTGGCCTTATTTTACTATTTCTGTCAGCTTCTCGTCCAGAGGTTGTAGAACACGAAAGCCCTCTCCATTTCTACACCACTTACGAAAAATGCTCAAGTCCTTTCACCGGAGCTCTTCTAGAAGAGTCTACATCTGAGTCAAGTCAGAGTCACGATCAGTTCCATAATCACTTCAGGCCAGTGCTTGACTGCATCATTTAAAATTCAAAATAGCCCTTCAACGCAACAGTCAGACTCCAAATTTCCGCAGGAGTGAGCGAAAGCAGCCTTAGCTCTTGCGATATTTTATTTAGCCTCTGATATGTGAATGGTATCCTGTGTGTGGGGGTGTGTGCGCAGGGGTAACCTCGTTCTGCTGAACAGACTGTTCTTGTTGCAAACGAAAGCTGGTCTTTGATGTTCATGAAGTGGTCATAGGAGAACTAGATTGATTTTTCTCCTTTTTTTAACATGCAACCAGGTACATTTTATATCTCACAGCCCATATTTTGATATGGGATTCTTGTGTGGTCTCTGCATTAGCAAATCACACAGCAATAAAAAAAAAAAACTATTTAAAAGCTTTTGAATTTTCTCTGCCAAGGATATTGTGTTACGTATTATAGTGAGCAGCTACAGTAAACGAAAACACAAAATACAAACCACTGGCCGAATGAACTGCTGGTCTTTTTGCTATGGTCAGAAAGTTGACCGGGAACCACTAAGACAGAGTGTAATTGAAGGTCAGACTTAACGATAAGGAAATTTTGATTGAGACTTTCCTCTTTGCATTAGTGACGATAGAGTTTCTTAGCAGCGGGGTGCTGGGATACCCCCAGCAACTTCTCTAGGGCTTTGGACGTGCCGCTATCTGCGCCTAAACGGCACAAATGACATGAGGTTGTGACGGCACCACATGGTTGTTGCTCATCCCTATTCTTGTCTTCAAGATGCTGCATTGCCTGTGCTGCCAGTGCCAACCGTACACCTCTGGGACTTACACTGCTAGTTTTAATATACTATATAATATGGGAGGCTTTCATTTAAATTACCAATTTAATCTCGTTTGACATTTAGTAATTATTTCCTTTGAGAAGAAATTACTTTCTTTGTACATTAAACATTAAAGCATGTTGATAAAAACGAGCTTTGTACTAGGTTCAGCACTCTTCTTTTTTGCTAAGATATGGAATCTGCATAGGTGTATTTAAGAGGCTGTAGTTTTGTATATCTTTATCGAGATTTTTGCTTTTTACATTATCCTTAGGGAAGGAAACAGTAAAAGATGCATGTATTTTTTACTGTATGTGTAATAAAGTTTCTTTTTCTGAGACTTGTGTCAAGCTCTGTTTGCGCAGAGGTTGAAACCCCACTGCATAAAGGCACTAGTGCACATACTGGGAGGAAAAACATACGGTTTCTTGCCAGCCTGTGCAGTCCAGTTTTGTGTGCCATATACACAAGCTGTTTTCATGTGTTTCGGGAAAGAACAAATAACCTTTCTTATTTTCACAATCCCCAGGGAGTTCCTTAACCTGCAAGGAGCCAGTCACTGAATGGAGCTAGAAGGGTAAGTGGGAATGTTGGGAAGCACCTGCGGCTGAAGGCTGTGCTTGCAGCCAGCCCGCGTTGTCGCACAGCCTTGTCCCTCATGCCGGCGGAGATACGGAGACCAAAAGCCCACCTGAAGGTGCAGTGGTGTGTTTGCCATGTGTGCGGGCACGCGAGTGGGCCCTGACATCTGGAACAGAGCCAGCCTTGGTCCAAAAAGAGCAGAGGACAGCTTTGCTAGTGGGGATTTCCATGCTCTTCTGCCAGGAGTATGTGACACTGGGGTGAGGAAATCACGTCTTCCAGCCAGAAGGACCTCCCAGATTCCCAGTTTTGGGAGGGTAGTGGAGCGGGAGAAGGGGGTGCAATGCACTTCCCCTGTGGCATCTGGACCCAAGGCTCGGCCCAGACCTCCACCAAGGGGGACGGGGCTGGGATCCCACCACAGTCCAGGCTTGCCTGAGGGACGAGGACGTGCCGGCTGAGCTGGCCTGGAAGTGCTGCCGCCTGGATTCCGAGCTCTGACCCCAATCCAGCATAGACCCCATCAATCCTTAGTCCTTTCTGTCCGCGCGAAAGCCTGAATTCCCCTCCATGTTACCGCCTACGCTGATAACTCCCCAAAAATAAGTGTGCAAACCTTAGTCACGGTCTGCTCCGGGCGGAGAGCTCCTCTCCTGTGCAGTTTTCCTGTGGTCCCAGGGTCCCCCACACGGAGCCCCCACCGGGCTCTCGCGCAGGAAGCAGGTGTCCTACATGAGCCGCTCCAAACTGACCGTCGATACGGAAAAGAAAGAAAAACTGACACTGGAAGAGCAAGCCGGGAGAGGGGAAGGAGAGACGGTTGCTCCTCGCGAGGGCAGCGCTCCCTGGGACCTGTGCCCCAGGGCAGTCCCCTCAAGCTTCACGTCTGACTTCCGTTACTGCTTCCCCCCTCTTCGGATCTGAGCGCCCTTCGGCTGAAGGCGAAGACCTCTGCGCCGCGCGATCCGCGGTGGGAAATTTCCATGCTCGGCTGCCTAGCGAAGCCTCTGAGGCTCGCGAGGCGCCGGTGAACTTCCGCCGCGCGGGGCCGCGGGGCCGCGGGCGGGTCACGCGCGTCCTGCTCTGAGTCACGCTCCCCCGCGGGTGCACGGGAATGCAGCGCCCCATGGTGTGGCCGCCGTGGCCCTGGGCGAGGATGGCCCCAACCCTGCCCAGCGCAGGTGGCTGCCCAGCGCAGGTGGCTGCACAGTCGCTGCAGGTCCCAGAAGAGACCCAAGCTTACCCACAGTCTGGGCTGAAAAACCATTTTTCCAGCTGTTCCTGATTTCAAGTCACCATTTTACCTTCAGTTTTCGCTTACCTCAGCCTTAGCAGGGCGTTGTCGGGGTTATTTCACCCCTGCGTGAGCAGGTTTCCTGTGCAAGTTGGGCCTGGATTCCCCCTGCCATTGCTGAGGTTGGTATTTCACCTCTCCCTGTGGTCTGTGGGCAGCAGGCAATGTCCAGGGTATCTCGTCCTTTTTGCACAGTTGAGCAAGAGCAGTGTCCTCATCCAGGCCAGGTAAACAGCACAAGGCAAACTCCTGCTTTTGGGCAAGCATCAAAGTGTGATGCTCCTGTGAGCCCCAGCACAACTCAGCACTGGTGTAGGACGAGAGACGTGTAAAACACAGACACCGACGTCACTGTTGTTGGCCACAGATCTAGCAGGTCACATATAGGTGCTGTATTTCCCATGACAGGTGCAGTTTGCTGAACCCCAGACCCATGCATTGGTCTCTCTTGATGTCCTCTTGACTACCCAGTGCTCCCTCTAACCAGAAACCTGGTGGGGTCCCTGGAGCCATGGGCAAGCAAGCACTGGGGTTCAACAGAGCAATGCTGAATTTCTCCACACAACTCACAGAACTAGGGCCTGTGCCTGCTATACCCAAGCCCCTTAGCAGTAACCTAGGAGGACAGACAGGCTTCCCAGCGCTCAAATCGCTCTGCACAAGAGAGCCCAGCAGGAACGTGGGAACACGGCTCCCGGTGCAGGCAGGACGGGGCTGTGTGGGATGCGGAGGCAGCCGTCACTCGCAGGCACGTAGCACCCTAGTGACCTGATTGCGGTAGTGGGGAAGGAAGTCGAGGCAGAGACAGCTGATTGAGAGACTTTCACTTTCTACAGACTAACCCATTTAACCCATCAACTGACAGGCGGACGTGCTCTATGAAAGCACCACTTCCCAATGGCAGGAAAGCTTCAGAAGTGGAAGAGATGCCCTGGGCACTGCAACATCAACAAAGTCAAGGTAAATTTGGGAGCCCAGATGTGTCATGTCTGAGCTTGGTGTGCATCAACCCATTCTTTCCAAACAGACCTGGTTTGCACATGATTTGCACATGACTTGAGTGATCGGATACCTTAGCGGAAGTGTCCTGTCTCTTCCAAGCTTCCTGGGCCATATCACTTCTGAAACCTTAGATTTGGGCTAGGAAAAGTCCCTGTGCTATTTCAGAGACTCATGGAGAGGGCAGCACTGTCTCATGGCACCTATGCAGACCCTAGCTTGCTAGTCTCCACTAGGAATAGCGGGCTTAGGAAAGCTTGTGGGCTACTGGATCTCATGCTAATACTTGTTGGACTTGTTGGAGATGTGAAAGTGGGGGTAGCCTCAGCTGCAGTGACCATGAGCTGGTTGAATTCAGGATCCAAAGAGGAGGTGGCAGGGCTGTAAGTAGCCTAGCAACCATGGACTTCAGGGGGGCCAACTTCAGCCTCTTCAGAGACCTCCTTGGAAGAATCACATGAGCGAGAGCTCTGGTAGGAAGCGGGGCCCAATAGAGCTGGTCAGTATTCAAGCAGCACTTCTTCCACGCTCAAGATCAGTGCATCCCTTCTTTGAGTAAGAAGTCAGGCAGGAGGGACAGGAGGCCTGCATGGATGAGCAAGGAACTCACGGCAGAACTCAAACAGAAGAAGGCACTATACAGAAAGTGGAAAAAAGGACAGGCCCTTGGGAGGAATACAGGAATGTTGTCAGGGAATGCAGGGATGTGACGAGGAAAGCC